GGGATTAAAAAGATGAGTCAGCCATAGATCTGCCCACCCGACCACTACCCCAGAACCTCTTAAGAGCAGCTGGTGCAAGGTCTGGACTTAACTTTCTATAGTAAGGGACAGAAAATGGCAAATGGCAGGAGAGAAAGTCAAAGAGATTGTGACAGAAGGATACAGAGGGAAAGAAGTCATTCTGCTTGGGGGACTTGGGGAGCAGGGGCTGGCACTAACTACTCTCTGAATTTAATCAAGCAGAGATGGGAAAGGAGTAACATGAACAAAGTTGTCAGGTACTTGAGAAGGATATTCAGTCTTTAAGGTAAATTAGTATTTCAACCCCTTAAGTGTCATTTTCATTTTATCATTCTTGGGAAATGAAGGAAAACACAGTAATTATACAGACCCTATACAAATGTTAGCCATTAATACATTTTAATGCTGGTGTATCATTTTTTTTCAATCAATAATTTCTACCTTAAATAATCTTTTAGAGTGCTTCTCAAAGAATCTCTTGTGGACGGAATCTCTCATGTTTTTTCCTGGACTCGGGTGTTTTGCCCTTAATATAGTATGATGACGTATTTCCTAATTCTCAGTGTACTCAAGGTTAATGTACAGAATCTCACAATTTAAGCTATTCTCCCATAAACTAACAAACAAACCCAAATCTTGGCCCCTGCTGCTGGCAGTCCGCTGTAAGTTCTACAAAGGAAGTCCAAGGACTGAATGTGTGGCCGTCTCCCTTCTGCTGTTACTACAATCACTATTGACACAAAGGGATAGAGTATATGGAGGCGGCAGGGGACTGTGATTCTGCAAACAGCCCTTGACTTCCTGTACAGAAACTTTCAGGGGACTGTGCTGGGAGTCACTGACCTGGCCTTTCTGGATTGTGGCAGTGTGACAGGGCAGGGAGCCCTGGCTCCTCCACGCACTGTGCTGTTGAATCTACCTGAGAAGCCCACTTCTTGAGGTCGAGCTGGGCTTGTTTCAGCTCCCTCCTTCAGCAAGCCTGTCCTGACTTGAAAGGCTGAGCTTAATTTTGCTGCTCCATTTCACTCGTCCAGAGTAGCTTAGGGTTCCCAAGGGTTTGAATCTGCTCAGTTGTTCCCATGTCCACCTGGCACCAGATGACAGTCTGGAAAGTCACAGCCGTCCAGTCACTACATCAGGTGCTGGGGACTGAGCAAAGCCTTTCCAACAGGCTGCCTTGGGGAACTCAGTCCTTTTGCAAAGGGGGAAATTTGGCTCATAGTAGTAACTCATGTGGTTCCTGGATGCAGGGCGGAGATAAGCGTCTACGCTTCTGACTGCCAGCCTAAAGGTTCGCGTCAGCACCCTGGGTTGCTCTGGGTGGGAAGCAGGGTGGAATCAAAGAATGGTCCATCCTGGGGGTAGAGGGGATCTGAATGGTAGCAGGAACTTGAGTGACTGATTAACCTGAGACCGCTCTCCTGTTTGGCTCCCCCACCATCGGTAGTCTTGAAATTGAAGGGGTAGCTTGTTTTCCAGTTTGTTGTAACACACAGAACCTCAGAGAAACACAGCAAGTAAGCAGCAGGAAGAGACCCTAGAATCCTTGTCAGAGCTCCCCTTTAGAATGAGGAAAACAGACTGAGAGGGGACAGGACATCATGTTCCTCGGGACACTACTATGGTTCTTTGTACCGAGTTGGTGCAGAGTCAGCCCTTCAACCAGGCCACCGAAGAGTATTTCAGAGCCAGATGTTCAAGCCAAGGAGGCAGACCCTAGACCGACCCGGAGAGTGTGAGCACTCCACTCCCACCCCCGACGTCCACTCGCACTCCACTCCCACCCCCGACGTCCACTCGCACTCCACTCCCACCCCCGACGTCCACTCGCACTCCACTCCCACCCCCGACGTCCACTCGCACTCCAAGAATTAGCAGTACTGATCTCTGGCCAGGCAGTTCGCATTTCAAAAGACAACAGGGATGGTTAAAATGACAAACTTTGTTATATCTTACCACCAAAAGAAAAAAAGTCAATATATGCAATTACACTCTAACTACAGGCAGTATTATGGTAATATGGCAAAATAATTTCTAAAACCCTAATTTCTCTTGAAGAAACAGAATTCCTCACACACCGTTATTACCAGTCTCTAAATGTTTAACCAGATGCTTGTAGTCTTAATTCCAAAATTATTATCTAACCCTGACAGCATGCATACACATGGCACTAGGCTTATGAGTTCTGTTCTGCCAAGTGTCAAGGCCTTAGAACTGGGCATCGTAAAAAAAAACTTACATCCTTGTAAATAACAATTTGAGCTGAATACTGACAATTCCAGCATATGTATGTTTGAAAAATTGTTCCTTCTCATTTTCTTCAGACATCTCATCCCTTCCAGGCCATCCAAAAGCAATAAACATTTCCCTTTAGTTCAGACCATAGCAGTATGTCCCAGGGTCTTTGCATGGATTAACTAACGTCACTGATACCTTTATCTTGAGCATTTCCCCCCCTCTTCAGTTTTTAGCTTCTGGGGCAAGTTCAGTTTCATTGGAAAATAAAAGGAAAATTAAACCTTTGTAGAGAAATTCAAATTTTAAAGGGTTCATGAACCTTAGTTCAGGAAATCTGGCTCTAAAAAACCAGTGGCATGGCCACCAAACCATAAAAACACACACAAGGGGCAAGGTTATTGTGGGTCATGAACGCTACACAAATATGCAGGCTGACTGCGCACTGATTAGCTGTCTTCAAAAAGAAGATGACTTACTATTTCAAAACCAAAAAAAAAAAAAAAAAGGCAGGACAAAGAACAATTTTTACCCATTATGATTTATTCTCTACAATACTTCGTTAAAGAGTTCAATGATTTGCACTCAGAAGTTATATAGCCAAGAGGCAACCAAGTGTAATACAAAGAATTGGTCTGAAGTCTTTGCACTGAAGGCCATACAAAGTCTCTTGCTTCAGGGAAATAAGAATGAAAATGAACAGAAAGAACACATAGCTCCCTAAGCTCCAGAATATCGATAGAAAATAACATTGACAGTTAGTGAAATTGTAGGAGTTAACATATCATGGAAAACACATCTTGTGCAAATATTAAAATTAACACCCAGGACTTTTGTATAGGTGACTTTTATTATAAACAATAAAATATATGTAATGTCTCAACTACAAACCTTTCATTTTGAAAGGGTCTCTTAACATGAGTTCCTTTAACATTATGAAGCAAAAAAGTTTTAAGAACCTCACGGTGGAAACAATCCAAAACTGACAAATTCTAGTGATCAAAGACATTCTCTTTTAATCAATGTAAAACAGGACAATTCATAATTACAGAGAGAATGTCCTAGCTGTGGGTATTATGAGACAAGCCAACTTTCCAGACCAAAAGGCACTCACAGCTAGGGATGGAACAAACTCCGAATCAAACCAGCCAGGGCTGGTTCCTTGAAAACAGTGGTCACCTACCGTTCGGCTCGAGCAGCCCAGGGACAAAGGAAACGCCAAGCAGAAAACATTCCTTCTCTTTAAACCTGCCACTCACACCACAGGTACCGGCCACCCTCTTCACTGCTTTGGTCACCCGTGTGGGAGGCAGCTCACTTCCAGTTCAGAGCTGTTGTCTCCCTATGCAAAGCTGCCACATGGATGATCCAGACCTGGTATTTTTCCTGAGAGCCACCTGCCACCCAGCTTCAGGAGGTGACCATGGCTACACACGCCCAGACCACTTCCTGACTGGGCCCATGTAGGGCGGACTGTGCTGACAGTGCCATTCCTTACAGGGCCAAGTAGTTTTCCTTGGTCGACTCCCGAGTCCCCTTGGCAGGGCAAGAGGAACTCGAGCGTGTCCACTGCTGGCCCAGGGCGGGAGCACGAGGGGCCGGGCGGGGGGTAAGGCTTCTTCACTCCAGAACCACTTCAGGGTGGGACTGGGCTTCTGCAGCCCAATTCTTGTGCACTGATTTTTTTTTTTTCTTCCCATTTTCTGGGTTTAAAATTTTTCTGTTCATTTTCCTAAATGGCAGGTACCCCACCCTCAATAAAATAAAATTAAAAACATATTACACATTGGGGAAGACAAATAGGGCAACATTTCTACAAGAAAAATTAGGCTTGAAGAGCATGGCACTGTAAATGCTTGCATGACCAGTCTCACTGAGCGTGCTCAGGGGTGAAAGTTTAGCACCATTTTTTTGCTTTTTTTTAATCTTTAGAAATTAAACACAACTGTTAACATAGAACACTTGAACAGTAATGAGTGTAGCCCTATGTACCAATACTGTTGTACAAATTGGAGGTGGGTGGCTTAGTCCACCCTGACATCAACCCATGGCACCTAAGAATAACTCATCACGTTTATAACAAGACATTTACTATTCTCAGCAGCAGGAAATCACGAAATAATCCCTTCATCTTCAAAAGCTTTTTCATAAACCTTGCACAGGAAGAGTGCAGGACGTGAGAACGCAGCACCACAGCAAGATGGGGTGTTTGGATGCCAGCATGCTACCCTTGCACACTCCACGTCCTTGTGGATGGCACAAGATGGTGCCCAGCACACCTGCTCACCCTGTCCCTCTCCCACGGAATGGGGCCACGGCACCTAGAGTGGTATGCACATCGTTCCTTCAGCTGGGTCCCTGCTCCCCCTTCCCCATGCCTGGCAGAAGAAAATTCAAAAGACCTTTTGACTTGAATTGCCCATTTCGGAAAGCCACACCATCACCACATAGACTTCAAAATAAATTAAATCAACACTGTGTTCACTGGGTTGACACCCAGTCCACTTCAAGAGTTCTCTAAGCATGTTGTTGAAAACCAGTGTATCCCCGAGGGTCCTTCCTTCCAAGAGCCACCTCTTCTCATGAACCATTTCAGCAGTGCCGCTGTGACAGTGTTTTCAAAGCATCCTTTAAGTCTCCAACTTGTACGAACGTTGCCACCAAACGAGTGAAGAACAGGCAAGAGGGAGGGGAAACCTGCTGACGGCTGTCTGGAATCGGCGACAACAGTGAGGGAGATGTGCCACGTGAGTCTGAATGACCTAGAATAAATGAGCTGTTTGGAACTTTGCCATGGTGGGTGAAGAGTCCCAGCATGTTAGGCAGATATTCACCTTGTTTAATTACACAGCTTTGTTCTCAAGTCCCGTAAAGGCCTGAAACATCAAGTCTTCTTACGTCTACAGGCAAACCAGACAAAGGGACTCCTCTGCTCAAAGGTCCCTTGGGATGTTTGCCTGAAGAGAAAGCCCACCTGGAGACCCTGGGTCTCTCCTACGACGTGTCCTACCGCCCAGCCCCAGTACCTGTTTGAACACCTGTGCCTTCTGGGAGCCTCAACCAGCTACAGGCACTACCACCAAGAGGGAGGTAGCCGGGTGGAAAAGGGGACCTCCTGTGGGCACCCCAGTCCGGTCCTCCGCAGGCCGCGCCAGGAGACACAGTGCAGGAAGAGTGCTGGGAATCCACCTGTGCACGGGGTGAGGATTAAAGCCTTCGAGGTTGACCCAGCAATGAGCTCTTCAGCGCCATCCTGAGGGCTTCCGGTCTGGACGTGGGCCTCCCAGGAGCCTCCAAGGACTCATGGTGGCCACGTTCAGCCCTGACATGGCATCCGCATATGAAGCATGGAGGTCGTGATCAACTCTTGGTACGCAATAAACCGGAAGTTTAAAAAAAGGAATTTAAAACAACCTAAAAATGTTTCTTGTTGGTCTCCGTTGCCCAGACTGCCAGGGGAGTATGCCTCCTCAATCAGGGGAGGCCGCGGGGGGGGCGGGGGGGTGGGTAAGCCTTCGCGATCATCAGTTCCAGCTTCTGAGGTGCGACCGACACAGGAGGCAAATCACCAGAGGCACCTGCATGCCCAGGGTCTCCTGAACCCACACGGTGATTCTCCTAGTCAGGGAGGAGCCCCAATCCAACAGAACCCCGTACTGAGGAAAGGCTGAGATAAGGCTTGGGCCCCTCAAGTTCCGCTTCCTTCAATGTAACCCCGCTCCCCTCGGTCGGCTGGAGGCAGACTTGGCAACGGAAGCTAGCATCATAAAATGGTGCAGTAATAGAAGTAACTGGACCAGGAGGAGGAGGCATCTGCTCCAATGATGTCGTAGCCATTGGTGGCCACGGGGGGGTGGGGCTGCTCGTGCAGCCGTGTGTCAGGAGTAATGATTGTAGAGGGGCGGGGCATGAAGACCACCATTCTGGAAACAGTGCTGCCGAGAAGCAATGTACTCTGCGTAACTGATTGTCACCTTCTCACTCCGGTACCTGAGGAAGGGAACAGGAAAGGCCATGAGGAACTCCAAACACTTGGCATTGTAAAGTCACTCAGCAGAGAAAACCAAAAGCTTATTCCACATTTTGAAAGAATAAAATGGAAGACCAAGAGCAATCTTACTTACAGAAAATGAAAGACAGCACAAGAAAACAATGTTGTTATTACAAATGAATGAGATGAAAAAGCACAATCACAGTTCACCCCTGAGAATGTATTTTCTGCACATCCCACCTGTGAAACACTACATAGGCTTGTCACCAGGCTGCGCTTAAGCATCTGCTACCAGGTCTGGATGAAGCATTTCCAGGTCAGATTACACAGGCGGCAGACAGAAGATGGCTGCACCAATGCCCAGTGTAAACTGCGAGTCTACTTCAGGTTAAATGTGGTATGTGTGACAGAAATGCAACCTCAATTTGCAGAAAAGCAACAAACAAGTCACTTCACTCAAAGGGGCACAGATACCTAATTCTGGGTCAAATGCTGATGAAGCAGGTAAAGGACCCTGGGGCTACAGGGGACGGGCCTCAATCCCCAGATGAATATGCCATACCATATCACAGGGTCATCAGAACGAGGTCCTAGCGCTCTGGCTGTGCTCTGGAAAGAGCCGTGAGTCAGGATGTGAAGCATGGGGTGTTACAAACCTATGGAGCCTACTACAGACCACAGGAGCTGGGTGTGACAATCCTTACCCAGAGCCATCTCTTTCCCACTGTAATCACTCCTCCACTGCAAGGTGATTATTCCTGAATTTTGACAGGGAAATGGCTGTTCAAGTAAATTATAATAATAATAATAATAATAATAATGCTTTGTATTTTGAAGTTTTCTTTCTTTTTCTTTTTGGAATCCAAAGCATTTCAAAAACACTGGGTTATCTTCCAAATAGACCTGCGAGGTTAGTATATGATTATTCAGCATTTTACAGATAAGGGGCCAACAGAAGCCCCCAGAAGCGAACCCTCTCAGTGATCCTGGTTGCAGTAGGGATGGGAAGACAACTGTCATCTATCTACTGGCCACCTGCAACACTGCCTGGCCCTGGGCTACATGTTCTCCAAATGCCACCGTACCACACCCTAAGCAACCCCGAGGGGTTGCCATTTGCTTCTGTAGACAGGAAACTTTTCCGCTCAGAGAGGTAGAGTAACTGGCCCAGGTCACACAGCTGGAAGTGGTGGACCTCAGAGTTCAGACCCCAGGTCCACGTGCAGACTCCCCGAGAAGTATTCGCCCCAAGAAGGCAGAGGCGCGCGCCTCCTTGTACTCTGGAGTACAAGTAAAAAGCATTTCTGACTATTCTGTTAACAGGCAACCCCCCTGCCCCCCAACCACGAGTGACTTCAGCTGGCCGGGCCTCCAGCACTGAGAGCCTTCTCTTCTGACTTCAGTCTCTCCACCAGCCTTCCAGCAAGCAGGTCTCGCAGAGACATTAACGACTTGCTCAGAGGCCTGAACCCTGCTCTGCGCGACGCTGGGGAGAGCCTTTGCTGCCAGCTTCCTCGGAGCTCAAGCCTCACCAATGCTTCTCTGGCTTAGGGGCAGTAATTAGCAGAGCACATTTATTTTTCTTCCCTTTTCCATCCAACCCCAACTAAATTAAAATGACAAGGAACATGAGAGTGGCTTACCTGGTGAGTTTGATCGTTTTTCTGAATTCACTGGTAATTGGAGCCTTAAAGCCACCTTTCCTGAGCAAGGAGTCTATTGTCTGGATCTGATCCCAGTCTGAGGGAAGAGGGCACAGAGGTCAGAGCACGATGACGCCAGAGTGGGACCTGCTCTAACCGGCGCAAGAGGAGCAGCCGGAGCTGCGAGGGTCGGAGGGAGCCACAGGCGCTGGCCCCACGTCCCTGGAGCCCGTCTGCCTCACCGGCAGTCCGAGCAGAAGCTCTGAGGCATGAAATGACAGCCCAGCGCAGGCCGTAACGGCTGCCCTCAGGACGCCTGCCCTGTGTCCTTCCGTCAGATGTGATCCCAGCGTAATTATCTAGAAACAAGCATGGGCCCAACAGAGCCTGGCTTGCTGGCCAAGAGCTGGTACAGAGGCTGTTCTGCGGGAAGAGGGAACTCCAGTTCTGCAGCTTGTATTCCTCTGTGTGGCCATCCTTGTGTTGGTGATTTTAGGAGTCCCAGACAGCAGGAAGGAAGCCATGCCTTTATGAAGGATGGGAAAGTTGTTCACACAACTATTGTGTTGTTCTTGCACATTTTTAACAGATAGAACCAAATACATCAAAACTGAAAACCAAAGAGAGTCCCCTAAGTTATATTAGTGGGTTGCCCCAAATCTTTAAAAATTTCCCAACCAATTTTCAAATGGCACAAGTAAATCGATTATTTATTTAAGCAATCGTCACACCTCACTACTGAAAATACCTATGACGTGCCTCCTTGGGTAGAGAGGTGCTAGATTCATGACCTCAAAGTGGTGGCTAAAAGGCTTCCTTTTTATGTCACATCCACACTGCTTCTGAAGAGGTGTAAACACAGCCACGCCGTGTCACTCTCCACATAGTTAGTTCACTGATGTACTCAACTGGGTATTTTCTCACCCAACCAATACTGTGTGTTTCACATATTATTTTCAAAAAGACTAATTCCAAGAAAGGGAATTGGGTTACATACGACAGAATGCGGACAACACCTAAAGGTATCCTTCTAAACACTCCTTTACAGCAATAACCCGCCCAACTTACTTCCTGCCTTCACTCTCCTTAGTAAGAACTTACTAACTACTGAGCTCTTTGCAGGGGAGATGACCTCTTGCCCTTTCCCACGTATAATATTGTTTAATAATCCATGACCCAAAGTTCAAAAGTCCCTGATATGGGCCACTTCCCTTTACAATGAACTCCTGAACATGGCCAGGCTGGTTGCTGGGATTCTGCTACAACTACCTCTTGAGTTTTGGGGGCCAATAAATAAAAGTATTTACTGAAATAAGTGACACAAGAGGGTCCTTATCCCTTCTTTCCCAGTCCTGTTTCTTTCTGGTAGTTTATTTCTCATTCTGTAGGAATCTGATAGCTATTAAGAGGAAGAAAGGGCTTCATTCTTAGTTGTGGTTAGGTTGAAAGACAACACACTCCACTTTCCTGCCCTTTAATTGGCGACACTGAACAGTATCATCCACCAAAATTCCATTTGTCCAACTCACCTTGTTCCTTAGCAACCTCCGGTAAATATGTGGCTGTACGTTTGACACCTTTTTCATTGATGAATTCAATTCGAATACCATGGACCCCTACCTACAGGAAAACATAACCAAACAAATGGCATTTACTTATTCTACTAGAACTTGAGTCACCCGCCTATCAGTCAACACTGCCACCTGACCAGCTTGACCCGGTTTGAGAAAAGGGGGACCTCTTGCTTTTCACAACTAACTTGCTCTCTGATATAGAAGCCAAGGAAACTTCAGCTTGAGGGAAGGTGTGGGTCTACGCATTGCCACCTCTCTGAGAGTGTGCAGGTTGTATAAATAACTTCTTTCATAATCTTGAATACTCCACCTTTAATCTATTCCATTAAATGAACAGGCCACAGGGCTTTGACCTGGGTTCATGACTCCTCATAAACAGCTAACAATGACTTTTACTCAAGGGCTTACCAAGAGGGATCTGGAATAGCATCCTTTACCCCCATGATTACTTATGACAGGGGAGAAGGATGTGGACAGCGGCTTGAGAAGAAACTGGAGAAGCAGCCAGCCTTCATGTCTCCTCCAGCTTGTGCCAGAGCTCTGTTCTGCCCCCGTGGTGCCCCACTGCCCTCAAGCCCACGTTCGCACTCCTGCGCACTCTCTCAATGAAGGAGATACATTACCATGTACTAACCCGAACCCAAACGAACGAGAGACGCAGATTCCAAATGCGGCTGTTCTCACCTCCCAGTCCAGGTAATCACTGGCATCCTCAAAGTTAGTGAGGAGGGAGACGGAGCAGAAAAGCTTAGGCAGCTCCTCTCGGGTCAAGGGGGGGAATCGGCTGTCCTTAAGTGCACTGGAGGGGACAGAAAACATATGTGAGGCTGCTCTGGAGTTGGGAGCCGACATCACGTGCCTGAGCATTCAGGAATCCTGCGCTCTGCAGAGCAGCAACTCTGCGTCAACAGCGATATGCCAGAAACTACTGGATGCCAGGGACTGTCTATGCCTGGACCGCGAGGCGACTGACCAGAGGCAGGCCCCCACGGTCCGGGACCACCAAAACGAGCGCTCTCAAACTTCATCGCTTAGAAGAGACACAGTCAGGCAGTTGTTTCGGTTCTAGCCCATTTATCTACAGCTCTCGCGTCTGGTGTCATTACCTGGTTAACGTGTATTCCCTGAGTCCTGAATGAAGATTCATGGCTGAGAAGGTCCCAATACAGCCACGGAGCCGCTTGTCACGCCCTGTCTTCCATGTCACAAAGAGTGGACTAAAAAGCAAACACAAAACATTCTCCAGCCCCAAGTCAACCACGGTAAGAACAAAACCTTGGTTGTATCGCTGCTCATTGTGGTCATTCCCCAAAAGGACTGTTTTTGGAACTGCAGGCTCTCAGGAGAATCCCCGCCTCTCCGGGAATCATTCAGCCCCCGGGCGGGACCGGAGACCCACTCACCACCGTGACGGGGACAGAGGCTCTCTGGGCAGCTTTTCCTATGCTACGCTCCCTGCCGACAGCTGTCGTTTTCCTTTGTCTCCCCAGAACTCAACTTTTCCTTCTTCTGATTTTCCATGTCTTTCTCCTCTATTGACATGAGCGCCCATTTCCCCAGCTCCATCCTTCATGAAGACACACAGGGCCTGTGCACCTTCCTACCTTATTTGCAAGCGCTCTGTGCAACCCCATCTTGTCCCCATCATTTTTTCTGCCCCTCACAACTGTAATTACCTCCTGCTTATAAGCGTTCAGAGAGGAAAAACAGTGTCTCCTCAAAAAAGCTCATTATCATTATGAGCAGAAGCTGCCACTTTCTGTGTCTGGCCAAAGTCACACCGCAGTCGGCTGCCTGAAACTGATGGAGGCAGAGTTTCTGGGGGCACATTCCAGGGCGGCCCCTTCTTCCGCAGAGTCCTCCACACTCACACGCTCCACTTCTGAGATTCCGAGGTAAATACTTCTAAAAAGCAACTTACACTTTTGAAATGATCTACTTCTTCGATCACTTCTTTAGAGCTGATCTCCCACATACCCACCTCCTTCCTTCTGATAAAACACGAACAGCGCCAGCCAAATCACTCTCCCCGAACCTACTGAAGCGAGGCCCACGCGAACTGCAGGCGTCCGCACGACGGAATACAAGCCACCAGCAGAACAGCCCCTCCGCGCCAGCACTGAGCCCCCACACCGCCAGGCCGTGCCCCCTCCAGCAGGGGCGCTCGGTCCCCACGGACCAGCTCCACGCCTCCACCTGCTCTGTCAGCACTGTCCGGCCCTGTAGGTTGGCCCATTTCCCCTCCATTTCCTCTCCTCTGACACCATCACACAGGAGTAACTTCCCGCCCACCTCGGCCCAAGGGGCCACATGTGCTGTTTGGCTGCGTGTGTGATCTGCCAACTTGGCAAGTCTCCCAAGAGAAAGGACCTTCCCTTCGTGCACCTCATTCCCTGCCTGGGGGCTACGCGCTGCCTCAGGCTGGCATTAACAGCCAGGGAAGAGTAGTCTTGGGCCAATGAATGCCCCAAAAGAGCAGCTCAGAGATGCTTCCAGTTCTGAGTGAACACTGGCCGGGGTCTCCACTTTATGCTTCACACATATTCCTTGTTTAAGTCACTGACACCATAGGGCTTGGGACAGAGAGCTGATTCTTGAACTAAAAACAGTAAAGCAGACTGTGACACCCTTGGTGGGGTGCCAGGGGCCCTGTGGCATTACCACAGGATTCGCAGCGCACGAAGTGAGGTGCCTTCAAAAGAGAATCACAGCTCCCCTAAAAGAGCTACTGCTCGCAGCCTGGCCTCAGACTCCCACTTCCCTGGGCCCTCCATGCCACGGGGACCCACGTGCAATGCGTGGCTTCTCGACTTGGGAGGCTCACGACCTCCCCACTGCCCTGTGAGCCAGCCATGAAACCCTCCCGACTTCTAGGACCTGAACAGCAAGCCTATCCTGCCTCCAACCTGGCCCCTTCATTCCGAACCCAGTGAATGCTCTGGGTACTGCCTGGACATTCCTCCCACCCTGGTCCCATTACCCTGGGCCCACATGGCATCAGCGCCTTCTGGAAGCCATAGACTCTCAGGAGTGGCCCCAGACGGAGGCCACCATGCCCTTCTCATTGTCCCTGCCCCTGGCCAGTTACTCACTAGGGGTCATTGGTGAACCTGGGAAGCCGTGGCTGTGGGAAGCCATACAGATGACAGTAGAGGACATCAAAGCAGTAGCAGCACATCTCTGCGGTCACCACCAGGCTCTTGGTGCTGGCAGGTCCATTGGGCCGGGGAAGAGGGTTCAGCGCGCCCGAAGCGGGATTCATTCGCGTGATGGGAGAGTTTGCAGGTGCCAGAGTTAAGTCCGACGCATTCTCCCGGCCACTGCTGCCATCCACATGCTGGTGGTTTTGAAGAGGGCCTGAACTAGAGCAGGGGACAGTCGCGGACTGGTTCCCGTGACCATGCGCTCCACTCCCCGATAACTTGGGCTTCTTGACCCCACAACAGCCTGCTGCCAACTTGGGCTCGAGTGGAGGAACACAACGTCTTTTTCCCATCCTGATTCAGTGCTTGAGGTCTGGAATGCTGCAGAACCCTAACCCAAGAGAGAACAGCTACGGGTTAGTTCACATGGTTAGTCACAAGGCAAAGACAAAAATCAAAGAGGGCAGAAGCTGTAAACTTTCCCCCTCCACAGGTCACACGGCAACAAAGGGTGGTGGGCCAGCAGCACCTCTAAAGAGACAGTCAGTCCCAGCTCCTAAGCCCTGCTCCTCAGCGGGGGCTGTTTTCGATTTCACCATGGATGGAGGCAGGCAATGGGCAGCTCCCTCCCACCAGGACTCACTCCCCAGGGCAGAGGAAGGGTAGGTAGCAGCGGGGACATTTCCAGAGGACTGGAAGGTCGCACTTGACCCGTCAGGCCCTTCCTCAGGTGGCCTTATCTACCTTTTTAGAGACTCCATATTGCACCACCATGTTTCTAAAGGACCCCAGAGGAACCTGCATGGTCTTCCTGGTAAGCGTTCTTGTCAGCAACAACCTAAATCTACCTGCGTGCTGCCAGCCCAGACTTCTGCAGGAAAAGCAGTTAGCCGCCGCCTGACCAGACGTGCCTGCTGGCCCGAGGCTCCCTCCGTGCTGTTCTCACGGCTCTGCTGCTCCAGCGCCTCACTCATTTTCTTTGATTCTCCTCTGAACTCTCTCCAATGTCTACACATCTTTCCAGCCTTTCAGGACCCCATTCAAAAAAAGGTACAGCCTAGGAAAAATCTTTATTCACACAAATGACCCAAGCCCCACAGTCCTTTCGGGAGGCAGCTATTCCTACCCTGTCAGAGCAAGACAGATGCAAAGACACTCAGCTGAACAACGTGGGGCACGGGGTGGGCCGGGGAACCGGAATGGCCCATCTGATGATGGAAATGAAGGAAGGAATTTTTCACTAATTTTCCTTCTTAAAAAGCTTAAGGTAAACATGTGTAGCTATAACGTGACCAAGACCCTGTCTGCTGTCTGTCAATAGTTAACAGGATCAGGAAAATAGATTCTAGTTATTTCAATGTCAATAATACCAAAGTTGTAAAATTCAGCTGACTTGAGAAAAGCATACTGTATTTTTTCTCAAGCCACTACAGTAATTTTAGCAAAAACAAAACAAACAAAAACAACCACACACACACACACTATATATGTGCACATGCGGGTGCGTGTTACCTAACATTTTTCCCTGTGATACAGACATGTAGTGCATATGCCTTTTTAGGCAATGCTCTACAATATATTTTGTTTGTAAATTCTACATTTTAAACCAAATTAGATATTTACATACCCATTTGCTTGCCATTATTTCTACAAAAACAACTTGTCACTGCAGATTGAATGAGATACAATAGTTCACAAATATGATCTATGTCCTTGATATATGCTGATCCACACAAAATACTCATTTTCGTACCTAGGGGGATTCTTGGATGGAAACTGTCTACAGTGGACAGACACACAGCCTCCACCCACCACCTTGGGGCTCAGAACGGGCAGGTGCTTTTTTTTTTTTTTTTTTGGAGACAGCCTCAGGGACTTGATACGATTACGATAAACCCTATGACCAGTCTGTTTCCAAGCACAAACGTCGCTGTCTTGTGCTGACTGTTAACAGGTTAGAAGTGTTGCCTGCAGAGCCAAATGGCCTGGGTGCAAATTCTGATTCCTCCAGGATCAGCCTCTTTATGACTCCATTTCCTCAAAACAGGAGTAACAGTAGTGCCTGCCTCCTGGGGTCGTTAGGAGAACTAATGAGTTTAGTGCAGATAAAGTACTTCAGACAGTGCCTGGCCAGGAGGCAGTATGTCATCAACATACTCAGCTGCTCACACTGTCTGTCTCCTTGATGGACTCCTTGCACTGGGATGCAAATTTCAGGTCCGCCAGGACTCCGCTGAGCTCTCAGCTTAGAGCAGTGCTGGCATGGAGCAGGTACTCTGTCAAAAGAATTTTACTGCATTCTTGAACCACTCAGCAAGGCAGATGATGTTTACCGTGACTTTACAGAGGAGAAAACTTGGGCTTAATAATCAAGAAAACCTGCTCTGAGCCAGACTGCCACTGAATGGCAGAGTTAGGATTTGGATCATAATCTAGCTGTCAGACTTCAAGGCCTGCTTTGTCTATCAGGTTACAAAGAAGAATGAGGCCTGCCAATAATACCCACTGGATTCAGTCCCTTTTCTAAGGGCATGATAAAAAAATTACATGCAAGGGTTTACTAAACACTAACCTAATAGTTTGTAGAATCTTGCTGATAAAAATGGAGCAGGAAAAAAAATCAAATACTAAGCCCAAAGGCAACATCTCAGCCATCACCTGGAAATTATCAGAACCCACCCTGCCACTGTCACTTGAGTTCACCATGGACACCAGTGGCCCCTTGACTTTCTACCTTGCACATAACCGGGCACAGGGCTTAGGACACTTGCTGAAAGAAGCAGCAAGACTATCTCTAGAGAGCTGGGCCCCAAAAGGGCCCTGAAGGGAGCCCCAAATTCAAAGCAGCAAAGAGTAGGGCTGAAACCCAAAGGTCAAAAAAAAAATCTTTCCTCATTCTCATTACACCAAAGCACACCTGAGGGAAGTAACGTCACGGAATGGTGGCAACTCAGATGTTCCTGAGCGGGTGTCACTCACTGTCTGCCTGGTAAAACACCCTACAACACAGCAACGGAAGGGATTTCCAAGCCATGCCCTGGAAGATGACTCAGGTCTAGAAGATTCTGTCTACATACCACATACAAAGCTGATCTGTTGAGGAATGATCCCAACTGGTTTCAAGTGATTACATTTAACAATCTCCCCAACACCCTACCAAACTATGATTTGAAATCAACAGAACCAACCCAAATGTTGTGATTCTTCAGGCCCAAGCATTTCTCTGGAGGCCACTAAGTGAACAGTTCAATCAGTAATTTCAATTAGTGACCAAAGGCAGAGATAAATATATCAGAAAGCATTTCTTTAAAAACATGTTCCATAAATTTAAATCTCTGAAAAATTTCAAATGTATACAAAAGCAAAACGGCCTAATGAACCCAATACCAAGCATTAACATTGTTCAACACAGAGCCAATCCTATGTCCTCTACAGCTGACCCAGTTCCATTCCTGCCACCAAATTATTTTGAAGGCATGTTTTTTAAGAGGGCCAGTATTTTACTTATCTGTTAGCATAAAGGAAACCTTAAGTGAACGACAGGTAAAGAATGAAGTAAACCAGAGTGCTGACAGTAAACACTTTATCACAACATTAACCCTTGTCTACCAATCTCCTCACAACCTTGTCTCCGAGACTTCTGACCCTGCTCCAACAAGGTGCATCTCACCACAACCAACTGGTTCCGGACTCGGCTCCCAGGGCCGCCCTCATGATGAAAGAGACACTCATTTCTCCAGCAGCTCAGCTTCTGAGAAGGCAGCACGGATAGACCTTAGAACAACAGCATTTCAGTACTGACCTGTCTGACCAGCTAAAAACATATCCCCCGAATGACACCCTTCATCTTTTCTGCATGTATTTGTTCTTATCCTTCCCCAAACCTCATAAATGGTACCAACAATGGTACTTAGATCGTGGGGTAACTGAATAGTTACTATGAAGTTGGTTCATCTGAAATAATGAACTGGGTGTAAAAACTCTTGCTTTAGAAACGCATATATTACCAAGACCCTGCCAAGCCGGCAGCTGGTTTGTCTTTCAAAGCTCAGCTCCAGGGCCGCTTGCGCAGTGGCCGCCATCCCCGTCCCTGTGTCCCCCTGAGAGCCCTCAGAGTGACCTGGTCCGCACTGGACTTCCCCCGATGGAGACAATGCCGTACTTCCACAAACCGCGGGAGCGAACACAGCAATCACTGTCCTGCCTCTTAAGACCCCCTAACCCAGCAAGTGTCAGCCATTCAGGACCCTCTCCGTGTGGAAAAAGCCACCACGTCCTGCACCTGACATGCAACACTCAGGGGGTCCTGACCTTCAAGAGGGTCACAGCAAAGGGCTACGGCGACTCTTCCTCCCTCTCTGGGGGGGCGGAGCACTGCTCTGTTGCTCTGGGCTGGGCGGTGTACAAGGCCACTTAAATTTCAGCCAACACCACTGTCCCAGAGGCTGGGGGGGACTTAAAACCTCTCTTTCACCATACATAACACGGTGCCTGTGTATACCGTACACACCAACCATCTTACCATCTTACCTCAGATGTCCTGGTAATTTTACTTAGGTTTGCCTTTTTCATTCAAAGAGTGTTCATGGCCCAAACTGTGCTTTAGACCCTCGGTCCCACTGGGAGGTGCTGGAGGAGTGTGCTGGGGCTGAAGGTGAGTGAGCACCAGTATCTGCTCTTACCAAGCACCAACTCCATCCAGCCCAGACCAAGGAATGGTTTAATTCATAGCAAAATGGGCGGCCAGTGTGGACAATTCATTCTAAAGACTAGGTCAGTTATGCCCTAAATTAACTTCTTGGTCTGATTTATGCCGGTAGCTATCTTATTTACTGAGATGCACCTGAAAATGGCCAGCCTTGCACTGGGCTTCAGGAGCTGGTAACTTAGGGATGCTCAAGGCTTTCCTCTGACAGGCCATACCTGGTTTCTAAACTACAGTTGAGAAGAACTTATTTTTCTTTCTGAATGATGGGAGCCTTAAAAGGTACCCACTGGAGCATTATTTGCCTAGGGGGCAATTTATGATTTCAGGAGTTAATACAAATGTCATCTCATAAATTGCTGATGTTTATAAACAAGGTATGGAGACCAGTAGTAATGGGGATGTGAGGACACCCTAACTTAAGTGGCTAGCTGGGCAGCAGGGCCTTCTTCTGCCGCTGGTGATCCCATTCAAAACTCCTTTGTCCACTCAAAGCAACAACCTAATGTCTTCCCAGAGCAGCTCCCACCTTCAGAACATAGAGCCTAGGCTTTGAGATTATAGTCTAGGCCGAAATCCCACCTCTGTCTTGTCACTTACTGGCCATGCAAACTCAGGCAGGCTGTCACATCTCTGCAGACTTAGGCTCCTGCTACTACAGAGGGTTACTCGTGAGCATTCCGTGAGTATGACGTGAAAAACATCTATCCATTCTTTGGCACATAACTACTACTTATTGAAGTGTCTGCTAATACTAACATTGCTACTACCTCTAGTGATAAAAGTAGAGTTGGTTATAAAAATAACAGCTCTGCATTCTTAAAATTTCTAGAGTAACAAATGCCCTCATAATAAAATTCTATTAAGAACTACTCAGTAGTCTAAAAGATCCTATAATTAGCATACGATTATTATTACTCCAATGACCTTGATGCTTTTCCTCTTTGGAAAGCAATGGCTTCTAATCAATCATCTACTGTTCTTTGTACTGTGAGATGCCAGGAAACTTAAGGAAAGGAAAGAGTATTGGGCTGAGTTCTAGTCTACTGGGGGCCTCTTTTAAGCTTTGACACATACAAAAAAGAGACTAAACTTGCTAAATGTTACTAAATTTTGTAAAGTCTGGATATATATTGAGTACTAATGGAATTACCGTGTCAGAGTAGTAATTTAGTATAGATTTAGTATAGATTTCAAACAATAACCAGATAAAAATATCTAAAGAAGCCTGGAGGTAGGAAAAAAAATCAAGATTAATCTTTTGAAGACAAGCCTTGAAACAGCTCATGGGAGTGCAGGAAGGGACATAAACTTATCACAAAGAAAACAGATTTAGGAGGTAGGAAAGAGGCAAAGAAAAAAGGGATCTCTGCATTTTCTCCTGTTATTATTTAGTGTCCAGATGTCCGCTCAAATCAAGCTTTATACAGAAGGAACAGGTTGCTGTTTCCTTTGTGACATAGAGAGTTGAACTGAAATTCAATTTAATGATTATTTTCTGAATAAAGAAATGGCACCTGAGCTATAATTTTGGCTCTCTTACGGAACCATTCCAAGAAACAGGCAGATAAAAACCCACAAACACTCTGGTAATCATTTCAAGCAGTCACTTTTGTGTTTTTGAAAACATATCCAAAACACGTGTGAAAATTTTTCCTGAAAAATACAGATCTGTATAATTGCTTTTAAAATTTATAGATTTAAAAAAACGCACAGAACTACACATTTTTCATGTCAACTAAAAGAAAAACAAGAATACAGGAATCAAGTTTTAGTTCTGTTTTCAGATCCCCTCCCTTTACTATGTGACCCATGACAAGAAGCCAGATCCTTCTGGGCCTTGGTCCTTTCGCTTGTAAAATGAAAATATTCATTCCCTGCTTCCCTCAGAGAGGGACTGTGAGGCGCTCTAAGACATGAAGTGCTCTGAAAAACCCACCCTACAGGTGTTAGGACACCACAACTCATACACTCCAGGGTTGCTAATAGCATAGCACTTCTGATATGCTCAAGAATAATAGTAATTTTTCTAGAACTCTGTTTATATGTAGAATTTTAATTATTTTCAAGAAAATAGGATCATTGTGCAGATTAGGGCAAAATGTTCCAAAAAAATCTCTTAAGATTATAACCATATGGAAGAGACCAGTCATTGACCTTGATCAGGAACTGCATTAACTTCTGAGTTTTGATCCTGGCTTGTTTAAAAAAAAAAAAGAGTCCTGGGAAGGGGTGGGAGCCGGATCTTCCGTAGTGAAAACGTGAAGGGTAAGTGTAATGCGAAGTTGCCACCAGGTCACTCTGCTGTGACTGTGGAAAATAAACTTGTCTTTACATATTTAAATTATTTTAAAAGAGAACAGGAAAGAACATCAACATTAGGACCCCCTCGGGGGCAGTGGAAAAATACAAGTGGACCAAAGTAAACCTACATCCTGAAATCCTACCACAGGCCTCAAACCACAGAAGGAAATACAATGCTATTCTTAATATGTCTAAGGTAATACTCACTGAAAGAAGAAAGTTTGTATTGTCAGCGGAACAGCTATAACAGAGGAGGGGAGCTATTTTGTCTCTGAAATGAATTTCCTTGCTTCCAATTCCATCCCTTCTTCCTGTACCTAAGACGGAAACGCAGGCGCAGTGAATGAACAAAATCAAGGCACTGCAAAGGTAAGACATGGATGGTTTTCGAAAATTACAACTCAACAGCAACTTCTAGGGGGAAAAAAAAGGCTTGGGAACAGGCTCTCTCCTTACTTCAAAACATTTCTAAACCTAAATCTAAGGCAGCAACGGGCTTCCACGCACTGAATCACCTCCTGCTTGGCGTCACCACCGAGGATGCTGAGGATCAAAGGTTTTATTGAACCTGAACATGAGATACACATCAAAACTTCCTCCACACATGTGGACCAAAACTTGCTCTCAGGCCAAATATACCATTTTCAAGGCTCTCCTCCACTGGTTTCAGAACACATATTCTCAAATCCTCTGCAAAGACGGTGCTGAAGAATTACTGGACAGCAGGCCAGGGTCCTTGAGGGCAGGCCACCTTGTTACCCCAGGTGGAGATGGTGATTGTTGGTAAGAGTTACTCATCCTTAACACTAGTCCTGCACACACCTCTCCAACTCTCCTCACCCCACCACAGTAGAGAACTGAGCCTCCCCAAAGATGTAAACAGGAGACTCGAGGCCCCACCCACTCTATCCAAGGAGAGGGCAGTGAAACAGGAGAGGCCCGGAGGAGCAGGGCGAGGGAGCGTGGAGTTCAGCTCAGGACAGGGGACGGAGGAGGGGGGCGAGGAGCGAAGGGCGACACCAAGAGCCTGGGGAGGTGGCACGAACCCGGGCGCGTGGCGGGGTAACGCGAAGGGGGCTCTGCGCCGACAAGGAAGGAGACACCGAGGGTGGGGCTGGGGAAACGAGAAGAGGAGGAAGTGTGCGCGTGGAGAGTTCGCAGGGAAAGGACGCGGCCAGCCGGGAGGGGCGAAGCAGGCAGAGGCAAAGGTGGGAGGTAAGGAAACGGCGGGTGGGCAAGGGGAGTACGGGCGGCTGGGAGGGCTCGGGGAGAGAGGAGCGACGCGAAGGGCGGCGGGGGCCGGCTGCGGGGTGCTATGGAGGGAGGTAGGGAGATTCACATACCAGTGAAGCATAATTATTCTCATTTCACAGAGAGAAGACTCAAGTGCCTCTGCCCCTCACCTCGCCTGCCACAAAACCAGAACTTCAGGAGCTCTGGGGGTGGAGTTTGCTGAGGAAGGTCTTCTTCATGGCGTCCTTCAGCTGCTTGTTCCTGAGGCTGAAGATGATGGGGCTGAGGAAG